CGTGAATTTTTCGTGGAGATTATTGGACTCTCGTTAATTTCAAATCGACCTCGTATGTTGCTGTGATTATTCGAATAAGATTTGGAGTCTCGTTGTAATTTATTTCGGGGGTGTTTTGTTCGCTTGTTTTCAACTGTGTTTCGGCTCTTCGTTTTTCGAAAATAAAAGCATGTTTTTAAAATGTTTCGAAACTCTGAAATTTGATTGTTTAATTAAAATCCCGAACCTGATACCTGCTCGAGCATTGTCGTCGATTTTGGGTGCTTGATTTGCGGCTTCTGTGACTGTTCCCAGCTCTGTTCAGTATTAAATTCGCAGGCCTCATTTTTGAAAAATTAGTATATTTTGTTGCATAATAACTAACGATTGAGCGAGTGGCGCAGTGGTGAGCTATGTGCATGTTTGTGTGGGTGGTCAGGGGTTCGATCCCAGCCTTTGCAAAAATTTCATTTTTTTTTTATTATAGAGCCCAGCAGTGCGCGGGCTGGCCCGCGAAGCCCGTCATCTCGCCCTGCAGCGGACCGCGTCCTGGCCCGCGAACCCGATCCCTCTAGCCCGCATTTCCCAGCATTTTCAGGCCTAATTTGCGGCCCAGATACATTGTGTGGCGGCCCATTTCGCTCCGCAGGCCCAAATTCTGGGCAGCCTTCGGCCTAGTGGCGGGCAGGTGGTCCAGGATGGCCTTTTTAACTGTTTTTGTGTTTGAGTAGTCCGTTTTTCGTACCGATTTCGATTTTAAAAATTATTTTCAAATGAGAAAAATTTAGAAAAATTATTTTAAGTCCCGAAACTCCTATTTTAGTTCTCCGAGTCATAATTTTTCAAAAAAAAAGAGAGTTCCAAGTCTACGAAAAATCCGATTAAAACCCTTAAGACTTAATTTTTATTAAGTATGGGTTTTGTGTTAAACTCGAGTAGTGAGATAGATTATTGATAAATTATCTCGCTTAAATGTAGGTATTTGAGAAGTCGAGCCTCGACCTACGTACTTGCTTTTGTGTGATATTCTCCCTCGATTTCCAGGTGGGTTTATTTATAAAATTGTCTATGCTTGAATAGTGAAATTGTTTGCTTACTTGGGTATGATCAATGTATGAAATGTGAACATGTAGCCTTCGGCGTGAGCTGTACCGGCCGTCGAGTAGTATCCCCGTGGTTATAGAACGTACCCGATGGGTAGTCTCCTTTATTAATGTATTGCAGACCTTGGCATGAGCCATGGTCAGTGATGGATTTCCTGCCTAAAACCCTCGGCGTTGGCAGACCTGTCTAATACCCTCGGGGTTGACAGTGAATTTCCCGTCTAAAACCCTCGGGGTTGACGGATGATTCTCCTACTTTGGCAACGTTAGAGTTCCCGCGGGGAGACGATACGTGGACCAAATGTAGTCTATTCTGATAGGTGTGCACATGAGATATGTAATGGACACTGGATAGGAGATGGGAAAGATTTGATTGTCTATGTTCATACTTGTGACCATGCCATATTTACTTTCTGTACCCATTTAATATAACTGTTCATTGCATAGTGGTGAGCACAACGGATTCCATCTCTGCTCATCCCCACCTGCTCTTCATGGATGCAGGTTGAGCCGGCGGCTGCATGGCGGCGAAAGACGAGTGGTGGTCGGTTATCTGACCAGACCTTATTATGTAGCTTCCATTTTGCTATATATAATATGGTTACTTTTGTCATTATGTTGAACTTTGGATTATTTATGATTTGAGAAATTTGAATACTGGTTTTGGGAGATGCCCCGTTTGCTAATGATTGATTTCGAAAGTTTAAAACCCTGTGAGGGTGGTTTCGATTTGACTCTGGATAATTGATGATGTTTAAATAACTTGCGAGTAATTGATAACTCGTAGATGTTGTTTATATGTCGAGTAACGCCAAATGATTTATGAAAAGAATTTCAAAAAATTTTCGTTGACTTTTTGAAAAGCTTTTGACTTTTGTCAAATAAAAGTGGGGCGTTACAAAACCTCTTGTCCCCCCTAAAGTTCTAACCCCAGCCAGAATTACCAGACTCAAAAGACAACTTAACATCTCTGAACCTTCCATCTCTCACCAAGAACCCAGCCTAACTGAGAATGCAGCAGGGAATAAGAAGCAAAAGGTAGATGAAACAAGGGTGGAGGTAGCCAGCCCCAACTGGCCCCAACTTGACCAATGAAGACAACCCTGTGGAATTGTAGAGGCCTGGGTGGGGCCTCTACAATTTCCCAGCTCAAGGAGTCTTGAAGATTCCACCACCCCTCTTTTGCTTTTTTTCTCAGAAACAAAAAAAAAAAAGAAAAATTTGTAAATACCATTTGCAAGAAGCTAGGAGTAGGTAGTAATTGGAGTGCAGTCGATCCAGTGGGGAAATGCGGTGGTTTGTTGCTAATCTGGAATGAAGACATCCATATTTTCCAAATCATCAAATCGGATTTTTGCATTCAGGTTGAATACTGGGATGACAACAAGAATAAAACCTGCTGGGGTTCCCTCATCTATGCTAGCACCAACCTTCAGAGAAGAAGAGAGCAATGGCAGTCCCTCCTTGATGCCCAACAAAAGTGGGGAGACTATTGGTTCATTGGGGGCAACTGGAATGAGATCACCTGCCCTGAGGAGAAAAAAAGGTGGAAATCCAAGAGGGTTATCTTCATTCAGTGTTTTCAACGGCTTCATCTCTCTTATGGGTATGCATGAAATCTAGCTTCAAGGGCACAAATACACCTGGGGGAACAACAGGCAAGAGGAAGGTTATGTCGAGGAACAACTGGACAGAGTATTTTGCTCTCTAGGTTGGCTTACCCTTTACCCCAATTCCATAGTGCAAAATGAGTTCAAAAGCTCTTCTGATCACAGCCAACTGTGCTTGAATTCCTCACCTGAAATTAAAAAGGCCAAGAAAAGATTCTTCTTCGACAGCAGATGGCTCAAAAAAGATGGGATCTCTGAAGTAGTCTCCACATCATGGAACTACTACAAATCAGGTACCCCCATGTATAGTTTTTAAGAGAAAATCAAGGGAGTTAGGGTGCAATTGCTCAAGTGGAGCTGCCTATTTAAATCTGAAAATGAGAAAAAAATTGAAAAGCTGCACAGGCAACTTGCTGAGTTAAGATGGGAAGGGGGTCTGAAAGATTGGCAAAAATGGGATGCTATCCAAAAAGATCTTAATGACATTTACAAGCAGGAAGAGCAATATTGGCACCAGAAATCTAGAATCTCATGGCTCAAGAATGGTGACGAAAACTCTCGGTTCTTTCATGCCCACACCTCTCAGAGAAGGAAGAGAAACAAAATTGTGAGGCTTGTTAATGAAGACTCCTCTGAGTGTGAATCTCTTGATGCTATTGCCCAATGTATTGAAGATTTTTACAAAGACCTTTTCTCCTCTCAAGGCCCATCCAGCAATGATCCAATTTTTTGATGAAATCCAGCATGTTATAACAGACTCCATGAACACTGATCTCACTGCTGAAGTTGATGAAGCTGAAATAAAAGCTGCTCTCATCTCAATTTCTCCCCACAAAGCACCAGGTCAAGACGGTATGACCTCCTCCTTCTTTCAACATTTTTGGAACATTATCAAATCTGATCTCTGTGCTTTGATATTCAATTTTTTTAAGTCAGTAAAGATGCTAAAAAGTATAAACCACACCCTTATCACCTTAATCCTAAAAGTCCAAAAACCTGAAAAAGTTTCTCAATACAGGCCAATCAGCTTGTGTAGTGTTACTTACAAAGTCATCTAAAAAATCCTTACCAACAGGCTTAAACCATTTCTTCCTCTCTGCATAAGTGAAACCCAATTTGCTTTCATCTCAAATAGACAGATCCTAGACAATGTGATCCTAGCCCATGAAATTATCCATTTCCTTAATAATCACATAACATGAAACTCTTGTTACATGGCCATTAAATTGGACATGTCCAAGGCCTTTGACAGAGTGGAATGGACTTGTGTTAAAAATATAATGACTAGGCTTGGCTTTGATGCTTCCTTTATCAAGTGGATCTTGGCTTGTTTAAATTCAGCCTCTTTTTCTTTTAATGTGAATGGCACTGTTTGTGTTTACATCATTCCTTCAAGGGGAATCAGACAAGGAGATACCTTGTCCCCCTATATTTTCTTGTTGGTGTCTCAAGTCTTATCCACCATTATTAACAGTTTCACTCTCTCAGGCCATTTCACAGGGATTAAGATTTGCAGAAACAACCCCACCCTAACCCACCTTATGTTTGCTGATGACACACTGCTCTTCACCAAAGCTGATACTGCCCAAGCACATCTTATCCTTAAAATCCTCAGCCAATACAATGCCATAACAGGGCAGTGTGTCAACCTCCAAAAATCATCCATCTTTTTCAGCAGAAACACCCCTCATCATACCAAACACCTTATCTGTCAAATCCTCATGGGCATTCAACTTCAAAATTCCTCTAGATACTTAGGGTTGCCCTTAGGAATTGGAAAAACCAAGCTGGAAACCTTTGCTTACATTGAAGATGTTGTTAAAAAGAAACTCTCCAACTGGCAAAACAGCTTCCTTTCTTTTGCAGGTAAGGAAATACTCATCAAATTAGTTATGGAAGCTCTTCCCCTCTATGCAATGTCGTGCTTCATCCTCCCCAAATCCACATGTGCAAAACTTGCTAAGCACTTTGCTGATTTCTGGTGGAAAAACAAAAAGGACGGGTCAAGGGGAATTCACTGGAAGGCTTGGAACCACATTACCCTCCCAAAAGAGAAAGGTGGCCTTGGCTTCCATGACATCCACCTAATGAATCAAGCCCTTATTGCCAAGCAGCTCTGGAGATTGCACAACCACCCTGAACTTTTAGTCAGCAAGGTTCTGAAAGCTAAGTACTACCCAAGCTCAACCTTTTTTTCTACCAAAAAGCAAGGCAATGCTTCCTGGCTCTGGGCCAGCTGGAAAAAAAACCACTTCCTTCTTTACCAATAATGTGATTTTCAAAGTTAATAAGGGAACAGAAATCAACATTTGGCTTTATCCCTGGATCCCTTCTCTTCCCTCTCACAAACCTAAACCTCTTAATCCCTGGCAAGATAGGATCACATGGGTGCAGGACCTACTAAATGAAACAGGGAGAAGCTGGAACATTGAGTTAGTTAGAACTTGATTCCCCATGGATGAAGCTGTAGCTATCCTAAAAATCAAAGGTATGAAGCCCAATTCCAATGACAGGCTGTTATGGTTGCACAACAACTCTGGTAAGATCTCTGTTGCTGAGGTATACAAAACCTTGGTGGAGGACAAATGGAACAAACTAGATATCCCAGGCTGTAGCACAACACTATTGGCCAACCAACAGGCAAGGATCAGGATTTGGTCTTCTAAAGTGGCTGGGAAACTCAAACACTTCGTCTGGAAATGCTTCAACAACTCTCTAGCTGTAAACAAGGCTCTACACCAGAAACTGAAAGCCTTTGACCCTATTTGTATGCTGTGTGGTGAGGAAAAGGAATCCATTGAACATCTACTCTTTCACTGTGCCAGAGCCAAGAGGGTTTGGAAGCTGGCTTCTGTCACTTGGGATGGACTAGAAGACTGTTCTCACAGCTTCAAGCAATGGTGGATCAAGCTCAGCTCTCTCAAGCAATCTGCCATGGCAAATCAAAGAATCCAGCTCACCATTTACCTCCTATGGTGGCTTTGGAAAGCCCGTAATCTATGGGTTTTCCAGAACCATTGGCTCCCTGATATTATAATTGTTCATGCAGCCAACTCAGCTTGGATGGAATTCTGTTGCTCTTAGCTCTTGCAGCTGATTTGCCTCCCTTAGCCTTTTCTGTTTGATTTTAGACTGTGTTTTGTTGCCCTGAGTGGCTTTTTGCTGGGTTTAGTTCTAGTCTGTTTTTTTTTTTGTTGTTTTCTTCTGTAGTGATAGGTCTACTAGGTCATTTGTTCAGTGGTAGACCTATCTTTTTGCTGTTGCTTAGCCCTGGCTAGCACTCTCATTACAAGTATCTATATTGGTCCCTATAGCTTCAGTCTATGCCAACAATAGATACTTGAAATGCTTTTTGAGCTATTACCAAGGAACTCTCCCTGTCGTTCCTTGTATTCTACTTATTTGTAGTCCGCATTGTATATATTGTACCTTATTTCTTCTTTGGTATAAAATCTATCGTTGTGAAAAAAAAAAAAGTACACACAATCACACAAATAAAAATGCCGAAGGAAAAGCCAGTCGCACTACCCCACAAGGTAGGCTAAATGAATCAACCAAAGATTAGTAAAAGGAAGAAACAACATTCAGAACCCTCTACTGGTATTATCAAATAGAAACAAACCACAAGAACACTATCAGACTAAACAAACAAACAAACCCGCAAACAAAACTAAACCCTAAACTAAGCAAACCGATAGACGAATCTGATTACCGTTGATGAAGTTCGTCTGAACACCACAACCTGATGGGCTGACGGATTTGGCCTTTACTTGATCCTAATCGAGTTGTTGAACGAATCACAAAATCAAGCACGGGTGGTCTCG